GTCGTCCAACGGGAGAGATAGAGAGTGAGACTCAGGGAGAATCGAGATCGTTGAGCAATAAAAGTGAGGGCTCGACCTGGGGGGAAAGACGAGAAGTTGAATGTGTGGATGGTGTGAGACTAGGGTTTATGGGACCTTCACGACGTTTTCTGTACTTTCCCTATTAATCATCTTGATTTTGCGCCTGGGGTAAACGATGCTAGGTCAATGGAAAATAGAAGTGCGCGCTCACTTGAAATTTCGACAGATTTAACTTGGAATCATGCAAAGAGAAGGGAAGTGAAGCAGTAATAGAGGAGAGGAAATAGGAATCAAGACAATCGAAATGAGGTAAGAACCAATGACTATTCTTTTGCAACAAAGCCTTATGAAACCAGTGACATTTGGTAGCTTTGATACTATCTAAACTGATTGGATTCTTTTGAAATTTTGAGTTATCATGGTGAATCATATTTCCTGTACCATCTACCATGAATCATCGAAGCTGGGGGGGATACCATCGGAAGCTGAGTGCTATAAATAGCTCATTCTTGTATACCATGAATTTAATATTTTCTATCTGGAACATTGTACTGACCGGACAATAGATGTGATGTTTAGGTACCTAAAGCCTGTTTCATCGTGTTTAATATATTAGAAAATGAATTGCATTCCTTCCACATTTTCAATGTTCATAAAAGAAATCACCGGTGGAGGTATAAAGTTAGTGGCGGGACCAACCCTTTTTCTTTTGGCCGTCAAATGTCTCGTCAATGCCCTAATGCACGAACGTGAAAATTTTAGTCACTTCCACCGCAGAAGTCGGATTCTCCATGTTTTTTTACATATTGATATGATAACTCCCCGTTTAACAACTTAAATTTTTATATTAAATTTTCTAACGTGATATCAAAATCAGTGTTATCACTTTCGTATATATACATCCACCTCTCATCAATTAAATTTCACGCATTGCTCCTAATCTAATTTATACATGAGAGGAGGATATTGTAATATTGCATTGCATCTTTCGATAACAGATTCTATATACTTTTTATATTTATTCGATCTTCATCCACTCACCTAACAATTTAGGCTTTTGGAACTAATTTAACCCCCTCAATATCAAGCACATCGGTAGATACTTCTTTTTGTGAATCAACTTAAATTTTTCGAATGCAAAAGAGCAAGCGCATCATAACAAGGACCGATTCGAATCCGGGACCTCCGTTCCGATGCGAAGTCAAGCAAATCGTTCGCCCAGAAAGCTAAGACGGGTCCAGAGAAATAGAGTGATGATTCACAACGATCGAATCCCTCGATCGCCATACCGTCTCCGAGGTCAATTTGGGGCAAAGCACATCCTCTGTTCCACGTGATGTTCGAAACGGAACACCCATGAAACTATGTCCTTTTGGGGGCGTGAGGAGGGTGGGGAGGACGTGGTGAAGTGGGAGACAAAGGCATGCACCAAGTACAAACTCGAAAGCATGTGTGACGCGCATTAAATTACTGCGATTGAGGAGGTGGTGTCGTGGTGGTGGGCTTTGGAAGTCTCGTATTGCAAAACACGTTGGACCTTCGAGACCGATGTGTGAACTTCGGTGCATGTGTGCCGGCCGGTCATTACTCGATCTGTGCATTGCATGGTCTCTCCCTCGGGTTTTAAACTATAATATCACGCTTCCTCTCTCCCATTGGCGGGAGCCGAGAAATGTATGCCATGGAACCCGAGGAAAGAGCTTTCGCTTTGTGCCTTCCGTTTCCAAAAGGTCGTGCCGGACGCTTGGAACCCAAGAAAAGAGGCTTTTGCTTTTATGCCCTTCCATTTCAAAAGATCGTGTGAACAGGTGTCTCGGTGACACTTGTTAATGTACTTGATGAGACGGTAGTGTTTACGCAACTCGTGAGAAGAGTCTGTGAGCGATGTCCGAGACCCACGTTGGATGGGGGAAGACGTGCGACTTAATTTCTTAATCGTGGCCTCTCATCCCTTGACAAATGACGACTTTGAGCAGTCACACTTGAATACACGAGTCGGGTAATTACAAACGATATCGGAGCATGAATCTCTCTAGTAGATGTCTGGTTCGATATCGGGCCATGTCCCAAGCATTGAATTTGGACACAAAGTGATCGTCGGGGAGGGGGGGCGCAGAGCTTGGAGGTGTGACTCTCGACAGGCTTCGTTGATGGCAAAAGGGCAAGAAAGGGGAAGTATCATCAGGCAACGCGAAACCGACACTAAATAGGACATCAATTCTATAAGTTCAAATGTTTGTGACACCCCATGCCCGCATCAAATGAGAGAGGACTTATCGCTTTATTTAAAAGCTAGCAAAAAAATTAATAAAACACTTGGACTTTATTTATTTCACTAAAATTGAATGATTTGAAAAATATATTTCTAAAAATGTTCGCTCGTATCGCTTATGAAAATAAATGAACGAAAACTATTTTCATCATTAACAAAAATATTTGGACATAAATTTTTTTCAATAATTAAAATATTTTTCGTCAACTAATTAATTCAAGTGATACGAGATATTTTGCGGAAAATCAATGATTTGGAAAATAATTTCCAAAAAATGATTGCTCGTATTAGGGGTGAGCATGGTTCCAAGGTAGAACCCGGATCCTGAGAACCTGACCGGTAAAAACCTGTAGGTCCTAGGTTCCAAGGTATACAGGGTAGGTTCCAGGTTCCAAAAATTGCAGAACTTATTTCGACTAGTAGGTTTTAGGTTCTAGGTAAGCGGAACCTGGAACCTGAAACCTAAACAAGTTTTTTGTATTTTTTCTTGGTTTATGTCTTCACGTAATCCTGCGGTATTTCATGACGTTAGATGATGGGTGTATAATCTGGAACCACTACTTTAAGCTTTTCATTTAATGACTTGTTAATGTTTCATATTCTTCAAGTGTCTAAATATAAGTTGTGGTCAGTGGATCATAGTAGCAAGTGGTAGTCATGAAAGATGATGATTTACTGCAATTGTTCATTTAATAATATAGATGGAACCTGAACAGACCTTGGAACCTATGATAGGAGATTATATTTATTTGAACCGTAATGCCAGGAAAACTAGTATTTTGTATTCTCTTTGATGAATGACAAGCTTGTTCAGTATTGTTACATTCTTTTTCGTTTCGTTTAACTAAAAATGAAATTAAAAAAAAAAAGAGAACCTGTTAGACAGGTTCCAAAAAATGAGGAACATGTACCCGATAGTAGGTTCTAGGTTCTAGGTAGAACCTGTAAGGAACCTGTAACCGCTTACTCGTATTGCTTACAAAAATAAACGAACGAAAACTATTTTTATCACTCGCGAAAATGTTTAAACATAAATTGTTATCGATAATGAAAACAATTTTTCCATTAATTAATCATTTCAAGCAACAAAAAAGATCAATTTTTAGAAACATATTTTTCAGATCAATGATTTTCCGCGAAATATACACAACCTTAATTCGACTGTGATGAATCATCGGGAGATAAAAGAACGAGGTTCGGTCGAAACAATACCAACATTGAAAATGTCAGTGTCAGGTACGCTCGAAATGTAATGGTTGTCGATAGCAGAAAATGGATAGTTCTCCGAAGAAGTGAATAAAATGACGAGTTCTTTTAAATTGCTTTTTATTATTTAGCACACGGATAATTTCGAAAAATCGATTTATTTATTTATTTTTCCATTTGTATGGCGATATTGAAAAAAAAATTGGAGAAGTGTGGTAAAAGAGCAATTTCCAAAAAACTCTGGACCTTTTTTTTTTTGTGCGTGTTTCCTTTCTTTGCCGGGAGCACCTGGGGTCCTAAGATCACACGACATTCCCACGACGCCACGTGTATGGCCCACAACCCTCCTCGGACGAAAATAGCCCCTTTAACTTCTAGTGCCCCCCTCGCGGGGCGTTTGGGCATAACCGTAATTTCGCGCGCGGAGGCTTTGGCTGGGGGCAAAAGGACATTTTCACAGCGGAACTTTGGCTTTCAAGAGGCAGCTGAAGTGGGAAAAAGGCAAGAGAAGGTAAAAATGATTGTAAGCGTCTGTCGTATTTCATTTGCTAAAATGGCTTGTATCAACGAAGGATGAATACCCAAAAAAAACAAAAAAAAAAAAGCCTCCGCATATGCCACATTTAACCTCCGAACTGATTTCAACATCACGAAAAATCACAAGACCGGTACAGCCATGCTACATTTACCGTAATTTCGCCTTCAAATATTGGTAAATTTGTCATAGCCGAAATGGTTCGGGATTTTTTGCGGCGCGAAAATTCGTCCAGGGCAAATGCGAAGCGGGTATATACCGGTTTGGGATCATTAGCGGTATTAGCCCTATTGATAACAGCGCTTCGGTGCACTTACCAGTCGAATCCATACATTCCTCCATCTCCCAGCAGACAAAACCCCCCCTCCAAGCAAGTATGCTATCGATCAGGTCACGGATCCTACATAGCCCAGTTTATAAAATCGCGCACGTGCGATACTCCATGTAAAGGCGAAGCAACTCCTTCCCGGATCAGATATGGAAGGAAATATGACCCCTTTTGTTCGACCCATGGAGCAATGAGAGAAAACACACCCGTTTGTTGAAGGAAAAGAATCGGGTCGCGTTGCTCTTTAAAAGGGATATTTTTTACGAGAAAATTAAAAACCCATACGATTTGACATTCTTTATTGACGAGGGAAGGGTGGTGGGGGGTGGGGGAATGAGGAGGATCTATTACATATAATCCGAAAGGGGGAGACATGGCTTGATGGTCTTGGTGATGGGGGCAAAATTTTTTTGGGACATCGTCATCAGTTGGGGTCTTGGTCCGAGGGGGAAAGGCCATAATCTCGTCAAAGCTTTCCCTCGTTCTCGTGCTGCTCCTGCGCACTTTTTACCACCACCACCACCACCACCACCACTGTACTGAAAACTTTTTGAGGCGACCCTGCTTAGGTTAGAGAGCAAGAAGAACACATAGGCGCAGGCAGAGAGAGAGAGAGAGAGAGAAGACAGAGAGTCGCCGTCGCCGTCGTTCTAGTACTTGGGAAGATCACTGGAGCTCGAGGCATGGAATTACATGGAGTGCCCGTCTCGTGAGAAGCCTTCCCCCCTATCCCCCGGTCCGACCCACCACCGGAACCGACGACCCGTTTGTTCGCTAGGAGCGCCGCTTCGTGATGGCGGAGACCGGCGTCGTCCGGTTCCACGGCAACCTGGACCCGGCGGCCCAAGAGTTCCGTCCGGCGAGGAACCCTAATAGCCCACCCTTCTTCGCGCCGCCGCCGCCGCAGCCGCCTCCGCTGCCGGCGCCGGCGCAGCAGCTCTACTACCCGCCGCCGTACGAGGTCCGGGTCGTGCCCTTCCAGTACCACCACCACCAGCAGCCCCCCGCGCCGATGCCGCCTCCCGCCGCGGCGGCGGCGGCCTCCGTGGCCCCGCCGATGCCGCCGCCCTCCCCGACGGCGACGCGGGCGCTGGCGCTGTGCCCGGTGCCGGGGACGCGAGCGAGTCGTGGGTGCGGCGGGAATTGGAGGTGTTCGGGGACGTGAGGGCGGTGCAGATGGAGCGGGCCCGCCGCGACGGGGTCGTGACGGTCCACTTCTACGACCTGCGGCACGCGAAGCGGGCGCTGAGGACCATCCGGGAGCAGCATATGCAGCGGCAGTGCCGCCTCCGGGACCACTACGGCGCGCCCCCGCCGCGCCCGCCGAGGACCCCTGCTGCCGCGGCGGCGGCGCGCCTCCGCCGGCGGGGGGGCCGGCGTTGTGGGCCCAGTTCGTGATCCCGGCCGTCCACGCCATCCCGGAGGGGCAGAACCAGGGCACCATCGTGGTCTTCAATTTGGACCCGGACGTGTCCGCGGCCAGCTTGCGAGAGCTCTTCGAGCCATTTGGTATCCACCAAAGCATGTCTTAACGAATGCAATTTTCTCTTTCGCTTCTTTGTGGTTATGGATCAAATCCATCGTCTTTGCATGAAAAGTCTTTGCTATGATCGAGTTCTTCGTATTCTTGGTGGGGGCTGCTGCTGCGGTTCAGATGGGTGTGCTTTGTTTCTTTGTGGGGTAAAGTGGGGCTTAAAGCTGTGAGACTCGAGCGTTCTTTCTCTTCTCCTTTTCATCTCCTTTCATTCGACGATGCGTCTCTTTCCTTGCTCCCTTTTCGTGCCTTATCCCGAATTCCTCCCTCGTTTTTGCATGGTCAAGATCTCTTTGATGATTTCGTGCAGGTCCGGTGAAGGAGCTTAGAGAGACTCCCTTCAAGAAGCACCAACGGTTCGTGGAATTCTACGACGTCCGAGACGCCGCCAAGGCGCTGGCCCAGATGAACGGCAAGGAGATCCACGGCAAGAACGTCGTCATCGAATTCAGCCGCCCCGGCGGCTACAACCGCAAGTTCCTGCTCGACCCCCCCGCCAGTCCGACCCCTTTCGCTCACAATTCGTCGTTCCTCTATAACCCCCCGGCGGCCTCCTACCATGCCAAAATTCTTAAGAATTCGCCGCCGCCGCCTCCCCCTCCTCCGCCTCAGCCGTTGCTGCACCGAGTGGTCGCCGCTCCCCCCGGGCTGCGAATCCTGCAACCCAACCAGCCCGCCAAGAAACTACTAATGGGTCCTGGCGAAGCGAGCCCTACCGCGGAGAAGAGCTCGGAAGTCGAGGCGTCGATGAGCCGCTTGAGTTTGAGCGGCGGCGATGCTCATGGAAGTGAGAGAGTGGAAGGAGAGTATTGCAACGAAGGGAGCGTTGTTAGGAAGGGTGCCAAGAAGAGGCACGGCAATAGCATTAGGCAGCAATCGCAGTCGTGTAGGAATAGCAGCAGCAGCGGTAGTGGAAGGCCATGGAAGAGCAACAAGCAAGGCAGGCACAGGCTCGATTCGCGGTTCGTCATTAGCGAGGAGGACGACGCGGTGGCCGAGGCGAGTTCCGGCGACTCCAGGACCACCGTCATGATCAAGAACATACCCAACAAGTACAGGTGAACAAGGAGGGGGTCGTTCTCGTTCTCGTTCTCGTTTTCGTTCTTCATCATACATGCTATTTTGGGGAATAAATTCGTCTTCTTCCTCTTTATTTTATTATTAAAATCTGCAATTGTTTAATGTCGGGCACAGTCAGAAGCTGCTGTTGAACATGCTGGACAACCACTGTATTCACTGCAACGAGCAGATTGGAGAAGACCACTGCGAGGACGACGACGATCGCCAGCCGCTGTCCGCATACGATTTCGTCTACCTCCCCATTGATTTCAAGTGATTATCTGAACATAAAGAGTCGCAAAACCCACTTGGTTCTTTCTTTTCCTACTTTTGATTCTATTCGGGGTTTGAATTGCTGATGTTGGGATTGATCTTTCTCGCATTTGGACAGCAACAAGTGCAACGTAGGCTACGGGTTCGTGAACATGACGACGCCGCAGGCGGCGAGGCGGCTCTACAAGGCCTTCCATCTCCGCCACTGGGAGGTCTTCAACTCCAGGAAAATCTGCGAGGTCACCTACGCGAGAATCCAGGTATGACAAGCTCTCGTTTTTATTGAGAATTTCGTCTAAGACTTGAGTCCATTAGCGATTATAGCACAATGGGGATTCAAGCGGGGGCTCAGATAGCAAAGAGAACTTCGCCTCTCTGAATGAATCCCCGCAAAAGCGAAAAAGATGGAAAAATGAAGAATTGGGTTTTGTGGGGTTGAAGGGTTTGGAGGCGCTGAAGGAGCACTTCAAGAACTCCAAGTTCCCGAGCGAGGCGGAGCACTACCTGCCGGTGGTGTTCTCGCCGCCGCGCGACGGGAGGCGGCTGACGGAGCCGCTCCCCGCGGCGGGGCAGCAGCAGCAGCACCGGCGGCGGCAGCACGAGGAGGGGGACGACGAGCGCAGCGATGAGGAGGACAATGAGATGGGCGGCGGAGATGAAGGGGCGGGGATCGATGGGCATGACGTCTACTGCAGCAGCAGCAGCAGCAGCAGCAGTGGGGAAGAAGGGGAGGGGACGGGGGGCGGCGGCGGCGGCGGCGGCGGCGGCGGCGGGTGCAGAGTGGGGAGGGACAGTCAAGGCCCGAGCGGCGGCGATAATGGTGGTGATGATGGTGACAAAGAGAAGAATTGAATGCCGTGTCGCGTCCCTTCCCTCCCCCTTTGGTTCGGTTTTCGCGCGCAGAGAGAGAGAGAGAGGGAGGAACGCGAAGCGTCACGCAGCGCAGAGCGTGCGTGGCACCGCCCAATGGGCGGTCGTCGAGCTCTGCGCCAGTAGCCCACCGTCGCACAGCTTCCTCCTCCTCCCTCCTCCCTCCTCCCCCTACGACTGTCTCTCTTATGCTATCTCTCTCTTCTGGTTTTAGTATGTGCATGGCTCTTTTTTTTTGGGGTGCTTTTCTCCTTTCTGATTTCCTCTGTAGAATCTGCGGTGACGTTTGCTTCATTTCGTCAGGAAATAATTTGTTTTTCTTCCCTCTTTTGTAATAGTGTTGTTTATTTTTTGGAGTAATTTTGGACATTTTGATAGGGTGTGAATTATTTCATTTGTTTTGGAAATGTGAAAGGTGCATTTTGGGGAAGATCCGAACTTTGTTTTCCCTCCTCTTTTTGTTGGGGGGTGTTTAAGATGGAAGTGCAACAATTAAGGATATGTAACTAAGCTACTCGGGCTCGATTCCTCGGTTTCACGAAATCGAAGTCGAGCTCGAATATCTTGATTGTGTAAATCCCAGTTGGAGCCCGAATTCGAAGATATTTAGCTGCTGAGGTTTCACTTTGTGTTCGGTATTGATGATCTTCTAAAAGTTTAAGCTTTTGAAATAAATTGTCATGCATTCAACTGAAATGATGGGGATATGAGAGATCGACCGTCTAATGATTGATCTTAAGCTCGATTCGGCGAATCGCTGGCTTAGGGTTGTAATCACATTGAGTTTCCTCCCTTGTAAATCATGGCTTTGATCGTGTGAGTTTCGCATGCCCTGGTATTCGATCATTCAATCAACTTATCACATATGGAAGAAATTTTTGAGGATGTTACAGATAGTTGTTTAAGTTGTTCTTTAATAGGTTAAATTTTTAGGGAAGTGGTAACGCATATACTTAACTTCAAATGTGATAGAAAAATGACTGGTGTTTTATGTCTTTCTTTTGCCTTAGTGTTTATGTCTATTTACTCGTTAATTATTGAGACACATAATAGAATCAAATTTTTATTTATGACCACTATATTTTGTTACATTGTACAATCAAATCATTCAAGTGAGATTGGAAATCTATTGCTAGCGATGCACTCTAAATCTCTGGTGTACACTTGCATTGATGTGGCACCCAGTTAGCACTGCATCGACGCCATACCAACACTTACTAAAAAAAAATAGCCGAAATTGCAATCCTTTTGAAATATATATGTGTGCGTATGTATGGTGGATCAACTATTGTTTTCCCATGCTCCGACAGAGGGCCGTTAGCCTTGAGTCGCGAGGGTAGCGGCTAGGGCTCATGAACCCTCTCAAGTGACGGTGAGGGCTCACCGTCACCACAGACGAAGGCCTTAGTCGAAGCATAATTCCTCCTCCCCTCCCCACCCCCGGCCCCTACCCCTTGGCTTCTTCACTCTCTCTCTCCCTCAAAGTTTTTTCAATTTTCCATATCAGAATAATATATGTTGGTATTAAACATCGTTTTGATAGTCTAAGTGAGATGCTTTTCGCATATGTCCCGCCATGCAATCTTTCGGTGAAATACATGAGATGCCACATTGGACGTTCGATGAAAAAATCGGTTGAAAATTAGTCATAGTACATCAATCACAAGGAAATATATATTCTCATTGCATTTGGCTAATCGAACTATAGTTCATTGGCTTGATTGCAAAATGTACCAAAGTTCATTATCCACCGGTCGAATTTACATAGTTCATCGGCCTCAATGGAACCGAGCCCAGCCGCCTGAGACTTGATCCTGAACGCCGGAAATCGAGAATCAATATCAGGATTTTCGTGTCCAAATATAGAGTTTCGGGTCCATCACCAATACTTAGTCATATTTTAAAATATGTTTTCCGAATTTTTAAAAAATGAAATTATTTTTTAAAATTTAAGTATAAATTTTTTATTGATTAGAAAAATATTTTTCGTTGATTCATATTCAAACGAAGTTTAAATGCAGGTTTTCCAGGATGAATACTCATCTATCTGCGAAAAGCACGAATCGGAAAATAATGACGGAGATGGTGCGAAGTACGGAAGTAGGACTCATAGATAGGTACATCTAGTCACCTGTCTCAATAATAAAGCACATGGAAAATTGATATCAATATGATGTTGTTATAAAACTATAATAATGAGCTTATCTCAAATATATCGTTATTTGTACAAAAAAATATTTAGAAAAAAAGTGACTAAGATTTCGTTTATTTTACAAAAATAAATTATCAAAAAATTATTTTTCTAAAAATGATCGTTTGCATTACTTACAAAAATAACCGAATGAAAAATATTTTCATTGTCTAAGAAAATATTTAGACATAAATTATTGTCGGTAATGAAAATATTGTTCATTAACTAAACATTTTAAGCAATAGAAGCGATTAGTTTAGAAAAATATTTTCCAAATAATCTATTTTTCGTGAAACAAATGGAACTTATATGTGATGGATTATCAGGAAATGCGGGTTATTTTCACCTTTGTACGACTAAATTCGCCGTATTAGCTAAAGAGACAATATTGCTCTTAATCATCCAACCCCCATGTGTATTCAATTTCCTTCTTTATCTAATTTTTAATTGTATATTGGGTCTAGTTGCCATCATTTTGTATATCACATCTTTCTTTCTTTTTAAAAAAATTAATTGGGTATTACCATGCAAGAAATTTCCAAGAAACTTAGTTCTTTGCCATGTTGTCGAGCAAATTTATGGATTGATCATCAATTGGAAAGTCCAGAAATGAGCAACTTTTTACCATGTCAAATATTTATGAACTTTTTATTTTTATTGTGCATGTCACTGGCTAACTTTTTTCTTAGCAGTTGTCTTTTATACACGCATGGCAGGTTATGGGATGATAAAAAGAAAAAAGAGACCCTTGTAATAGATTTGCCTAAATAAAATCACAAATACATTCTCCAATACAAAAATTGCAAAGATGAAATTTAATTTAATCAAACCTTTTGCATAAAAGAAGAAAAAGTAAAAAAAAAAAAAGCCAATTAAAATTTTCTAATTTTGGATTGACAAAAATTAATATTATCCATGGAGTGTTTATGAAAATCTACCAATGTGCCTCGGTATGCAGAATATTTTTTAAGTCTTTATTTTTAGTGTATTTTAATATACCCTTATAATTTCTTACGTATTCTGTGTAAAAGTGTCTCATTGACGGTAGAAAAAAGAATCATCAATTCTTTGACATGGAAAATAAAGAGATTAGATATTTTTTCCCGGGATTAATCAAACAACAAATTCACTGAAAAGTGAACTTTTGAGGTAGAAGTGACAAAAAATTTAATAAGTTGTGAGACGTATAATGGTAAAAAAGAGGTTAATTTTTTTTTTTAATTTCTAAGTAGCAATAAGTTTAAAGTCTGAAGGAAACCCACAACAAGAAAATGTGTGAATTAGGGAATACTGTGCAAAAGTAAAAACCATCAATGGCGATTTTGTCTAAATATCGTGTGCATTTAATCGTATAAACAGTGGAACCAGCCCCACCCTTTCAAGTATATAATAAAGGAGTTTGCTACAAATATTTTGAACTTTAAAACAAACCTCATGTTAGACTAAAACTGCAGGCATTAAAGAATTTCAAAAAAATTGGTATAAATTGAGTTTCATTACAATATCATAAAAAATTAATTTGCTGGTATGATTTATTTATATAAATTGGATGTAATACCATCAAATTTTGTGTATGTGAACATATTTGATATGTTATTTAGATACTGAATTAGCAAATAAATCGAGAACGAGTAAAAGAGGTACTTTTATCTTAAAACAGCATGGTAAATGTTTTAAACGCATATAAACCATTTAACTAGGTTTGTTTACCTCCATAATCAATGCGATTGGCTTAGTGGTTAAGGAGCGGACTTGCACGTGAATGCCACGCACGACACGGGTTCGATTCTCCGCGCCCATCAAGTGCAAACAATCCCATGACCGCTCATCCCGATTTCAACTTGCGCCTGATCCGGGTCACGAGGTCGGCGGGGCGTTCGGATCCACCCGAGACGAGCTTTCTCGTCGGCGAAAGGAGACCGGGTTCTCCGGTGCTAGTGGCACGGCATCATCTCCCATTCAAAAATGCTTGTGTGCGAGAGAGAGAGAGTGGGACAGACAGAAAGCATTGCAACTTAGGAGTGGTCCAATTCGCCTGGAGTGGTCCTCCTCCTGCCTGCTGGCTGGCTGCTGCTGCTGCTGCTACCGCGAGCCGCTCGCAAAATCTTTGTTTCTAGTAAAGGGAGAAGGGGAGCGCAGCATTTTGTCTCGACTCCTGAACGTGTAGGTCAAAGCAGCTCATGTCAGAGAGAGAAAGAGAGGGAGAGAGAAAGAAATTTAATGCCGTGTTAGAGAAATGGAGATAGGCACAGGACATGGAAGCCTCCCACTGTTTTGGGGGTGCTTCGAAGCCGTGTCAGCATCTCGACACCAATCGTACGAGGTTGAGCCGAGGCCATATATAAAATAATTAATTATTTAAATAACGCATTCATCTAACATCTTAAATAATTTTATTAAATATCATAATAACCCGTTAGGGGCGTAAAAAATCTTTAAAATAGTCGATAGTGATCTCGTGAAATCTCGGGAAATATGGATAGGTGGCGCGGTTGTGTGATCGGATCTCATCCCGCGGCACCGGGGAGGTCCACGTGTCGAGACCCCAGGACATCGGGTAAAGAGGAGGAGCAGGACGAGGGAAAGGTCAACTGGGACTGACAAGAAAGGACGGGGGTGTGTGTGGGGTGACGGGAGTGTGAAAAAGGCTGTGGCGGACAACTGTGGAGGTGAGGGACAGCCATGAGTGAGGGAGAAAGAGAGTGTTTTTTTAGAGACAGAGGGGGGAGCCCTAGACAGAGAATAATGACCAGCAAAGATCAAGATTTCCAAGCCAGCAACACATAATGAT